CACCTTGTTGCAATGTGTAAGGCTTGGGTGTAGGCACAGGGAATGTTGTGCTTGCCTGTTGTGTTAAGAAGCACTTGCACTGCTTGAGACTGGCTGAGGTTGCTTCAGTGGACCAGCTGGACTTTGACCCAGAGGTCCCACCTGCCACATCAGATGCAAGATGTGAAGAATCGGGGTATGCTGCAGAACCTTGGTTCACAGTGCTTGCTGCTGCATCTCTGCATGTGCCAAGTTGGATATTTCTCCTTGAGCAGGCAGGAGGGATAGCAGAACTGAGCCAGCGTGCCAGCCTTACAGGGCATTTGAGGTGTTTGTGGGGGTAAAGGAAATAGCAACTTGAGAAAACCAAATCTGGTGCTGGCTTGACCTCATCCTAGCCTGGTGGAAGCTGGCAGTAGTACATCCTGTAGGGCCTGCCTTTGCTTTATGTCCCCTGATGTTAGAGCCTGAGAAGTGGTGGTGAGGAGCAACTGGCCAAAGTACATAGAAACAACCTGCAGCTGCTTTGTAACCAATTATTTCCTTTCCTTAAGCGAGAGAATCTGGGGAAGAGAGGGCAGCCTCTTCAGGCTATTTAGATGCATTAAAATATGAACCTTCTTTACTTGAGTTGGAGTATTGGGGCTGACTGGCAGAGCTCCTTGCTCTTGGGAGCACGTGTGCTGTCCTTGAGGGTTTGCATGAACTTTGCACTTGCTTATAAATCTACTGAGACGGTGATTTCCACAGCTGTTGTACTCTGGTTTGTTTTGTGGTTCTTCCTCCTTCTCTTTCACTGCGCTCATAAATGAGTCCCTTATTTGTGCTGTACTGTAACTTGGCAGCTGAGGTGCTTCAGCTGCCAGAGCTCATCAGGAAGAAACCTGCAGGGTGAGCATAAGGGTGGTGCTGCAGAGGAGGGCTGAGCTCTTACCGGCAGAGCTGCGTGGCACAGGCGTGTACAGTGCTAGCCTGAGCCACATCTCATAAACTTCAGTGAACACTAAACACGCAGTGCTTGCTGGGTGGAGGCAATACAGGATCTAATTTGAGAGAGCAGAATTGCAATTAAAAATTAACTTAGCCTCTCTGTCCCTTGATTCATGTGGTTATAATGTCTGTGCATGAAGTTTCCTCCTCCTGCCTCTCTGCCAGTGGTGGGTCCAGGAGGCAGAGGTGTTCAACTCTCCCCATATCACCTGTCCTTCTCTGCGGTCACCTTTTACAGGAGGGGGGCTGGGAGTATCACAGGCTCCTGCAACAAAAATAAGTTGTGACGGGACTCCTGCTGTCGCTAACAAAGCAGGCCTCTGTCTGCCTCTCCACAGGCACATGTCCTGGATTTTGTGCTCCTGCTCTACATACAGGTCTTGCTGTCATTGCTGTTGCTGGGAGAACGACAGGCCTGAGAGCTAGAGGTGAGGGAGGGGGCAGGAAGCCAACTCCGGATGCCAGTCTAGCCTGTGCAGACTTGTTCTGTTCCTCCCCCGTGGGAAACCCCAGCGTTCTGGATCAATTGATGCCTTCCTGGACTTAGTTCTCCCTTCAGGTTCTGAGGCTGAAGCTAGGCTAAGAAAGACCCAGAATCAACTACATAACAGCTGACCAGGCTGTGTTGGCAACCAAGTTTTTATGGCAGTGGTGCCTCAAAGCAGCAAACTGCATAAATAATCCTGCATGTCTTTATGCAGGATGGGGAAAGAGAGGCTGGGAGAAATGCCATTCTTGAAGCTGATGGTTTCTTCTGACATCCTCTTCAGAGGTGGCATCAATCTGGAGAATGACAGGGAAAATTTGGACATGTATAGGCAGGATCGTTGAAAAGAGTGGGTGTTGCTGCTTGGGGAGGAAGATTAAAATAGTCAAAGCAGTTGGGGTGGAGAGGAAAAGAAAGAAACAAACAATTGTGGACAATCAGTGGAATTTTAAAACTGCAAACTTAATGTATTAAACGTTTGCATCTGTTGCTGCGGGACATTAAGGCTCAAAACTTGACCAATTTCAAAAGGCAAATGGGCAGCTTTGTGGCGGTGGTACTTAGTCCATGTTTTTGCTGTTGAGTGGCCTGTGGATATGCCTGGTTGTGATAACTCCAAGCTCATTTGCTTCCAAACCTGACCTATCTCAAATTTTGTTGAGCTGCTGCTTCTAGTGTTGCTAGTTTTGTGACTGCTTGTGCAATTTCATAAGGGAGGGTTTTGGGGAATTTCATTAATGCAGTGAACAAAAAGAAGTTACTTTCTGAAGAACAGATGAAGAATTGGAAAATCTGTAATGTTTGAATATGTGGAACCCTAAAGTATTTTAAAAGCTCAAAGCAAAACTCTGAAAACCTATTTATCTTCTGACTTGAAAACTGTACTTTGAAGTACTTTATGGCTAGGAGCTATGAAAGAGATATATTGCCCCGTGGAAAGAAGAGAATAGTGCATAGTCCTGTAATGCACAATTGGGGTTTATTGGGTTTTTGAATAAACATTGAAGATGGTATGCCTTTAACAAATAGCTAGGAGTAGAAGAGCCCTGAAAGCAATACTTTACACTTGTTACCTCAGGCATGTCTTCTGCCACAACAGCTCTTCTCAACTTGTTTGACTACTTAATTAGTTTATATAACTTATCAATGACTTATCAAAGAAGTATGGGCAGAGTTGGAAATAGGTAGCACAGGGCTATTTCTTAGTGCTAAAAAGCAAGTCAGCAACTACTGGGACTTGCCCCTCCAGTTTGAAAATAAGGAGAATTGGACCTGGAACCAGGCATCTTAAGGTAAGAAGTCCAGTGCATTGGGCAGGAGGTTACCTAGCTTAGTTCTTGGCTAGGTTGAAGAGTAGAAAAACATTTGTAACCCCCACCATAGACATACGTTATCGGCTAGGGTCCTGGCTGCCTCAGTTCTGGTTAGACTCCCAGGCTCCAGTTTGTGATGCTATTAAGAGGAGATGTGTTCATGGTGAAGCCAGTAAGCAAGCCAGGCAGATGGGAAATTTTACATCTAAGTTATCCTCTTCAAGTGCACTCTTAGGTCTTGGTGCCTTTCAGGATTAAGGGCCTGAGAGAACATTTTTCCTGAAGAGGAAAGGAGGAAATCTGCTAACAGAGAGCCTTCACTCATTTTTCCTAGGTTGGTAGTGATGCACCTGTTGTATAGTGCATCTGTGCTAGATCAGAACCAGCTCACAAGTGATGGCTGCACCCAGGGACACTGGAAATGGTAATGCTGTGTGTTTGATATTTGGTGCACATATGCACCAGAAACTTTTACAGGAGCTTTCCACGGCTCATTTGAAGGACCTACTTTTGGGTGCTGCTGGCTTTATGGACTCTGACTGAGGAGTTAACTGAATAAAAACTGACCGAGATGTTGCTAACCTGGCTGTGCAGTAAGAGCTCCTTAGGTGCAGTGACTGCTATATAGATGAGATTTTTGAGATCAGTCTGTAGCACAGTTGGATGAGGTCGTATTTCTGTGCTGCTTTCCCACCTCAGTAGCATCTTGCTAGGTGCTGTGCAGCGATGGGCTTAGCATAGTCTCTAGCTATGGCATCCCTTGAAGTTAGACCAGTAGTGTTATCTTCAGCCGCAGAGTTCAAACTTGTGCTCTCTCCTGGTAGTTAAAGGGTGACCATTGCTTGGTGGGAAGGCTAGCCAGTTATAACAAGGCCCACATACCAGTTTAGCTCCAGAGTTAACCTAAATATTTAATAGGATTAAGCAAAAGCCTTTGATTGAAACAAAAGAACATACTGGGCTCCAGTAATCGTTGGTACACCCAGGTTGGCAGAGGGAACCCTGCTGACCTTACTCTCTGTTGGGGCTATTTCTTCCCAGGCTAGACTGGTGACCCCAGCCTAGTATTGCTCTTCATGTGGCTGTTGATTCTTAAAGCAGCATGGTCTGTTTGCAAGCAAGCAAGGAGATGTTTGCACCAAGCAAGGAGCTTGGTAGAGCAAATTATAAGGAACTTAAAAGTCCTCTGTTGCCTAGGCAGGAAACATAACTGAACCTGGGGAAGGAAGGAGAAGCAGGAAAGCTGACAGAATCACAGAATTGGTAAGGTTGGAAGGGACCACAGTGGGTCATTTGGTCTAACCTCCCTGCTCAAGCAGGGTCATTCTAGAGCACATTGCACAGGATTTTGCATCCAGTCAGTTCTTGAATATCTCCAATGAGGGAGATGCCCCAATGTCTCTGGGCAATCTGTCCCAGTGAGCAGTCACCCACATTGTAAAGCTCTTCTTCCCATTCAGGTGAAACTTCCTGTGCATCAATTTCTGTCTGTTGTCTCCTATCCTTTTGCTTGGCAACACCCAGAAGAGCCTTGATCCATCTTCTTGAAACCCTCCCTTCAGATACTTATAGACATTGATAAGGTCACCTCTCAGTTGCCTCTTCTCGAGGCTGAACAGGCCCAACTCTCTCAGTCTATCCTCATAAGAGAGATGCTCCAGTCCCTTAATCATCTTTTTTGCCAGTGAATCCAGTGGACTTACTCCAGGAGCTCTGTGTCTCTCTTGTACTCTCTTGATCTCTGAGATGTTCCCCCACCAGTTCTCATGTGTTGCTCAGCTGTGCTGCTTCCCCAGGAGGAGGCTCATTTCAGCAGTGGGATTGTTTTTTGGGAGTTTTTTCTAACTTCCGAACTCTTTGGTGTCAGACAATTGAAGTAGCTTGCATCACTTTTTACCACCAGGAGCAGTAGCTAGAGTTGGTGTTTTGGCTGATGCTACTATTGCAAAGTCTGTATAAATAGTGGTGGAATTAGCAGTGTATTTGTTATTAAATCTCTTCTGGAACTGCTGGTAGCCCTCTTGGCAGCAGTGTCTGTAGTGACAGCAGTGTCCTGTTTTGCTGTCCTGAAAAGGCAACTTGGGTATTCTATGGAAGACATGCTATCTGTGCATATGCACTGAGACTCCCCCAGATGATCCAGAACTCTGCACAGGATAAGGGTGTTGCTCTGAAGTTGCCCAGAGGACCTGTCTGTAATATAACTGGTTGTCTGTCTGCTTTCCCCTTAGGTCCCATAAGTGAAAGAAGATGGGATCTGGCTGCCTAAAAGTCACCAAGTACTTCCTCTTCCTCTTCAATCTCCTGTTCCTTGTAAGTATTGTGGGCATCTGTGGAATAGGAAGGAAGGCCTGGACCAAAATTAGCTGGAAAGTGTTTTTTTGATGGATGTTGGCCCAGTGTGTTCACTAAATAAAATGGCCACAGTTTTGAAAAGAGGGAGGGAATCCCTGAAGCTCAGGGATGTCAGAGCTGCTGTGTATGTCTCAGGTGTGCTGAGCAGCTCCGCTCCCAGAACCCACCTGCTGTCTCCAATGCACACAGCTCCCTTCCTGCACTGGGAAGGGAAAGAGGAGTTATAGGTTCTTTCTGGAAGGAGAGTAGTTGTAAGTACTTTCTTGGACACATCTGGAGCAGCAGCTGAACTATCCCTGAGCAGCAAAGCTACGAAACCTGCCAAGTAATGGCAGTGCCCTCCTAAATAGGCCAGGCAGGCTTCAAAGAACAACTCTAATTTTGTTTGAGTCCCAACGGCTGGTTTTGATTTTTAACAAGATGAATTAGTCCAAGTGTGAAATGGAGTTGGGAGGTAGGGCAGACTGGGGCAGGCTTGTCTGGGGAAATGAAGCAGCCCACTGGGTGCAGTTATTTTCAAGTGTGAGGCTTAGCAAAAGATGAACTCCTTTGGAACAGAATGGGTTTGGGAGGGCCACACACATTCTTGCATGTATCCCTTTTTGAAGCTTAGATATTTTGTGTCATGTGGACGGTGTTGGTGATGATCATACTGTTGGTGATGCCTGCTTCCATGGAATTGTGTAGTGAGGATGTACGAGGTTTCAGCTTTCCGCATTTCAGCAAGGAAATAGCCTATCTGATATTGTTACACTTGTGCAGCGTGTAAGGAGAAGGAAGGGTCAGGTTGGGAGAGAAGGAAGGGAACTGGAGCATGATAAGGTGAGCACAGCTTTCTGGTCTCTGTCCCTGCACACAACTTCCCTTTTGCTTCCTGCATGGCTGTACTGTGCTGCTAGCACACAGAATGAACTTGAGGCACATCTGGATCTGTTTTCCCTTGGCCTACTGTGCTCACTCTTTGCTCTTTGCATTTTGCTTCCATCCTAAGAGTAGTTAGCTGTGGTCTATCGGCCCAAAGTCAGGGGTGCTCAGAGCATCCATGGGGAAGGTTCTTGGGAGAGAGGGGAGAGGAGAGTTTTTTTCAAGTGCTACTGGGACTTCCAGAGTATGATTTGGTCCACTTTAAAAATAGGAAAAATCCAGCTGAGTCCAGGCCTGTCCCCCTATTAGTGCAGGACTCCTCTGAAGGCATTAATATTCAGACTACCTCCTCTCTTGAAGAGGTGATAAATTCTAAGCAGCATATAACAACCAGTCTACCCTGGTAAGCAGAGCTGTATTTGTTAAGGCAGTGTTTGAGTCTTGCTAAAACCCAATACCTGGGCACTGGCTAGTTTTTCTTTATGCCTAAACCTAGGTCCAAGTTCATAAGCAAATCTCTGTACAGAGAAAGTTCTCTTCAAAAAAGCCAGCCTAGCATATGAGGAAAGGGGAAAGATGACAGCCCGATATGCTACAATACCTTACAATAGTGTCACTGTTTTTGCTGTGTGCTGTCAATGGTTATTGTGGTATCTCTATTCCACATTGCCTTTCCCTCCCTTCTTTGCTGAGCCGTGGTTGCAGGCAGCCTGTGGGGATAGATGTGCTCTCAGGAGGCAGAGTTGAACTGCTTTATTGGGCTGACCCACGTCTGCGCTGCATTTTCCTAAATTTTGGGAGACTGGGAGGATGGCAGGCTCTGAATCCTTCTGTGGATGCTGAGGAGGCTTGACCACTCCTCTCTGGGTGGCAAGTGATGGGAAGAAGATGTTCTTTGTCTTGTGCACATTCTGCTCCAAACCTACTCCGGTGTAGCACCCAGCCCCTCTCTCTCTTGTGAAAAGCTGGTCTGGTGCACTGAGCTGGGCCAGGAGAGTAAGAGCTTTAAGACAGGTTGTGTGTGAGAAGGTCTGTGCTGACTGAAGGGAAGCTGCTTTAAATGAGCTCTTTAAGCCTGCCATGCACCATGGGCACTATCTTCACCTCGGGCTGCTCTGTCAATGTGAGGTCTCCAAAGCCACTGTGTTCTGGAGTGGAGCTCGATACTTCTCTAGAGTGAAGATTTTGAGTGTGCTTCTGTCTTGACTGATGGCAAGCTTTTTGCACGTGCCAGATGTTGAGAAAGGTGGCATCCATTACTGTCTCGCTATCATAGGAAATAGTTGACCTGAGAAGTTTTTCCATTATGGTTGTTCAAAGTCTGAATTGGGGAGGGGAGCGTGGTTATTCTTGAGTTTATACAATGTGGTAGAGCAATACTAATCTAGCAGAGAAACTGCTTGTGTTGAGTTGCTGGGAGTTCTCAGCACAGACAGGTCTTTCATATCTTGGGCTGGTTTCCTGAAGCTGCTGAGTTTTGTTGAGGAGCATGCTTGTGCAAATATGAACGTTAATGCTGGTGATGAAGCCCTGTGGCTGCTCTAGACCTTGAGGTGAGCCTATGTAATTGCACCCTGTGCAGGCCAACCCTAGCTGTCTGAAGTGTGTTCTTCAGCCTTGCTGACAATTGAAGCCTTTAGAGACATGCTGGTGACTCTTTTTGGACGTTAGTCATTGAAATAGCACTGCTCTACAGCTTGAGGTCTGTGAGAAAGTCACTTGCTATAGCTGAAGTAGTTCAGGGACTTGGTGGTATTTTGCAGTCTTGGAGCCTTACTTCAGGGAAGGGTTTGACCTGCTTCGATTAAAGGGAAGAAGGTTACTTGGACTGCTTACCTGCTTGGTAGAAAAGATACCAAAAACACAAGCTTGGAGTATAATCTTAGTTTCTCTCATCAGAACTTAACACGTCTACCTTCTTGGCTAGCAGACACGTACTGTAGCACGTTTCTTCTTAAAGGGAAAGCAGCTCTCTGAGACAAGTTCAACACACTTTGGAAACTTTGTTTAGAATATATAACTGTCCTACTTCTAACCCCTCTGTAAATGCAGCAGAAGGCTGTTACCTAAAGCAGAGTCTGGAGTTTAAGAGCCTTTTTCTTGTCCCCTGTGCCAGGCTCAATGTTACCTCACACAATCTGAGTGTAAAGGAAAGCAGTGCTGGGGAAGGATAGTTGGGAACCCCCAGCTGCTTTTTCCAGAAAGATGAGTCAGCTCCATCACAGCTTGGTTTTTCCAAGCCCCTTTTGACTGGCTCTCTGTGGGAAACTGCTGACCCTGCCTTGAGGGAGCTGCATCCTTCTGGCTTGGGCATGGAAGGACATTTTGCTGAAATTGGGGGTGAAACCTCCCCCCCCCAGGAAGGAGGAGAGGCATGTTTTCCCCACTTCAGGAATGGAGCAGAGGACTTAAATCCATGCAAAGCAGACATGATTTCTTCCATGGAGGGTCTGAAGCCAAGGCAGTGGCAGAAGCAGCCTTGCTATGGGATGCAAACTTCTGAAGATACTGAGCAAAGATAACTGTCCTGCTGTGATGTAAATATATACCTTTGTTAATAGAACAGTGTTTTCTGCCTGGGGCTGTTGTCTCTCTGCCTTCCTCTTGTGGTGTTTTCCACAGCAGCTCCTGGCAAACATACAAGTTGTGGACTGGAGAAAATATCAGAGTGAAAACAGGCCTTGGATACTTTGAGCACCTCATAGCAAATAACTTCCTAGAAACTCTGCTCAGCAGCCCTTCTGTGTTTTGTCTGCAACAGCAAAACTTGGGTGACAGTTCAGGGTCAGTGAACCAAAAGAGATGTCCCATATGCCTGGTTTGCATCTTTGTTAAGACAAATATTTATTGAGACTATAGTTTAAATGTGAGACTGCCTCAAACTGTCAATTCAGCAGTTCTGGGTACTACCAAATTTGAGAGGAATTTTTTAGGTGTCACAGCTGTTGCATGTTCAAGAGGCCTTTCTAGCTTGATCACCAGATTGCGTGTTGTGGGTGCAGCATGTTGGGACATAAGGCAAGGGGGAATTCTTTTTTTTCTGGGATACAACAGCTACATTTTTTCTGAATCTGAGTCGGTATGCTCCATCCATCTTCATAGGTGGGAACTCGCTTGATGACTTCCTAATCCTGTCCTGAGAGCTAACTGTGTTGCACTCTCTGCCAAGCCAGGAAAGCTTGCAAGCAGCTTATTTCAGACTGTGGCTTTATCTTTGCTCAGAAAAGCTTCTTTGTATGAGGAGCTGAAGCATAATGTAAACTTTCAAAATGTGGAGCCAATGCCTGTCCATACAAGCCTCTCTGCCAGCTTGCTTTAGGTGATGGTTTGGCATCCCAAGTATCAGAACATTCTCTAATGAAGTACAGAATTGCAATCTCTCTTCAGCCCTGTTAATTTATTTCACTTCATCCTTTCTTGAAATCTTGCTGCTGCTCGCAGTTCATGTCCTGTGGAAGCATCTCACTTGCAATTCTTGTCCTTCCCTTGTCTCTTCAAAGTCTGTTTTAGATCTTTGCACAAATGGTTTCCAGTCTCTGCAGACTTCCAGGCTTCTCAGTGTAGTTGCTTTATTATGGGTGTAGTGGTGCTCTTACCCTACTTTGGGAACTGGGGTCATCTACATTGAAACACCTCACAGTGTAGTATAAAACATGGTGATACCAGGAAGCTAAAACAGAGCATGCTTCCCCTTACCTCCCAAAGGGAAAATTGCGTGTTGCTTGACTAATCAATTACATTCAGCTGAGTCCTCACAGGGATGTATTGCTCTACTAATCCTTGTCCTAGATAAAACTGTGTGGTGAGCAAGGCAGAGGCCGTTTCATAGAGGAATTTCATAACTCTTGACTCTCTGTTGGGGCTAAGATGTGTTGGCTTGAGGGGCTGTGGTATTCTGGCATAAAGTAGGGGCCAAGGCAAATGCCTAAATTTGGCTTTGGAAGGGACGAAGCACTTTGTTCAAAGGAACCTGCTGCTGGGTTTTTTATATTTGTGGTTTGAAGCCATAACATTATAAGATCCTGACAAGGCAAAGATTTCCCTTCTGGAAAGGTTCCAGCTGCCAAATATCTAATCCTTTGTCAGGCTCCCAGCCTGGGGCCATAGAGTCATGGGTTTCTCTATTCAAAAAATCTTTAAAATCATATACATTTGTCCTTCTTCAGTTCTTCACAGAAGCAATACAATTACCTTTTGCTTGTGACAACAATGTTCTAGCAGCAGGGCGTCTCTTCCTCAGACTGTTTTGAATGGTCCTCCCATACAACAACATCATGTACTATTCAAATACTGTGTGAAGGACTGCCAAGCAGATCTTGGGGCTCCTGTGCAGTTGGCTGAGGCATTTTTCCTGGAGTCATGCTAATCCTGTTTACTCTGGGAGGAGTACCATGGGGGAGATGGGCGGGAACAGCAAAGGAATGATTGTTTTTTAGTCTGGAAATATGGATAATGGTGACTGCCTCCTCTTATTTGTCTAAGCTAACAAGCCAGCTATGTATGTTTTGTTCTTGCTCTTTCAGATCCTGGGGGCTGTCATCCTGGGGTTTGGAATATGGATTCTGGCCGACAAAACCAGTTTCATTGCGGTTCTACGTAAGCCTGTGTTTCTTCATCTTTATTCTTCTTCTGAGTTGACTTTGGTCTGGGGCTGTGTTTCACCATTATGTAGACTAGGAAAGGCAATACTTTTGTGCACGGTCTGTGGCCTGAGCAGTAACACTGGTCTTTAGCAAGACGGGACTCTTATCAGGGACAGGATGAAAGGGAGCAACCCTGGAGACACAGCATTGCTCCTAGTCTTGTGGATTGCAACACCACGGTCAGACTGAGTGAGACCATTGCCACTTCAACCAACAATCCAAATATTTTATCTTAAACATAGGGACTAGTATTTCATCCTATTTTCACTGCATACTCAGTTTCCACAACAGCTTCCTTATTACCGTTGGGTCCAAAGACTCACAATCCCTTAATGTAGTTTTGCTGTGTGAGTCCTCCAGGCTTCCATTACTTGCTTTCTGTAATGATCTACTTCAATTTGACTGTTTTAAATGCCAAAGAAATTAAGTACCTAGTTTTATTGATGCTTCATGTACATTGACAGTAGACACCATGTTTGTTCCTAAGCAGTTGAGGATGTAGATTTGAGGATTTGATGGAAGGGGACTTGAGTTCTAACAAAGAGTCTGCTTTCTGCAATAATCAGAAAACTGAGCTGACTTAGCAGAGTCTGGGCTTCATAGGACTGTAAGCGGACTTTCACCAAATGAGTAGCTCAGCTCCATCTTTCACAGGCTCTGCTTCCTTTGCACTTTTTCCTAGAGACTTCAAACAACTTTTTTGTTTTGTGGGTCTGGTTACTTGTTGCCACTACCTCCAGAATTGCTGAGTCTGGCACCAGCCTCAGATGCTGCAATAAGGCTGTGTGCACACTGCTTGCAGCCCCAGAGAATGAACACTCGTGGTATTCATAGTCCCTTTTCCAACTAGACTGATTCTGCAAGGAGCTTTATCTCCGAAGTCCTGCTGAGCACTCTGGCCTGGCTTTGAAAGGTGCTGGGTGGAGAGATCCCCCCTGCTAATACTGCACGTGTGAATACTGCTGCATGTTTTTGTGCTGTGGCATCTGGCTTGCTACTGCAGTATTAGAAGGTCAAGAAGCACAATAGGGGGTGTTGGTTAATAAAGTGGGGACATGAGCAGAAACGAACTAACACATGCAGCCTAAAAGGAACTTATCAGGGCCTGGCTGTTTGCAGCACCCCTCGCAGTGTGAGGTGTGCTTAGTACCAGTGGGCCAGCAGCTGTTCCCTCAGGTTGTTGGGTGTAACAGCCACTTGTGGAGGTAGAAGTCCCTGAGCTTGACTCAGCTTCTTCCCATGTTACTTGGAATCTCTGCTAACAGAGCATTTAAGGATTTTGTTTCCTTCCTGGAGATTTCCAGAATCAGCTCTTTCTCCCTGCCCCCTCACTTCCTTTCCCATGCCTTGCCCCTCTTTGCCTCTACTTTAGTGACCTAGGCATCAGGGAGGAAGCTCGGCACAGCAGGGCACTCCAGCTGCTGCCAAAGAAGCCTGTTGTACTTGCTTGGCTGCCTGCCCAGTGCAGAGGAAAGCACGGAGCGACAGGAAAAGAGCAGGAGTTGAATGCCTGCAAAGCCTTCTGTTGCAAGACAAGACTATTGCAGATAAGAAGTGCAAGGTGGCTCCTGAACGCTGTCAGTTCACCAAAGGGCTTTTGAGTTGGAAATAGCTTTTTCTTTCTTGTAATGGAAAGTTGACTTTATACTGCTTTCTAGCACTGTGGAGGTGCTGCAGCCTGGGCACTTGAACACTTAGTGTATGATGGTTGAGCAAATTTTGAGAGAGGGAATAGTATAGGCTTGTGAAGGCCACTCCTGTAAGGCTGCTTCTTCAGTAAATGCTTTGCAGTATCACCACCTAATCTGCACAGCGAGAGTCACAGGACTGGTGAGGAAGTAGGATCCTGGCTTCTGTGGCATATGTTCAGCCAGGGAGACTCTGGCCTGGAAATTAATCAAGGCTGAAGTGACCTTTGTAGCAAATTGATCTGGTTCACTTTTTGATAAGTGAACTTTCCTCTGTTCTAGGGAAAAGGTTTGGAAGCTGGTGACTTGCACCAGATATCAGAAGTGGGGGGAGATATGTATGAGGTGGGAGAGTATTAGTCTGGATTTGATTACTCTTTTAATGTATTTCAGAAGGAGCTCAGAGGAAGCTTGCCTCCTGGGACTTCTGTTCAGGAAACTAAATGCTGAGCTCTAAAAATGTATTTTCATTAATCACTGGACATCCAGAACTCCCCTACACTGTGCAGCTTTCAGATTTAAGAATATCTCTTAATGATAAATGAGGTTTCTAGTTACTATTTCTAGACAGTATCTCTTCAACTTTTATGCTGTCGTACTTGCTCTCTCCAATCCTATTCTACAAGAAACAGTCCAGTAACCAACCCAAATGTAAGCACTTACTTCTTCTGTTACTCGCAGTACTAAATGCTGAGGGGAGAGGGCTGACAGCACCAGCATGGCTGAAATAATGCGACCTAACTTAGTTGAGAAACTGTTGAGCATTCAAGAGCACAGTCAGTCCAGACAAAAGCAGGGGGATAGCTAGGAGGTTTTGTAAAAGTAGCTAATTTGGGCATGATATCTGTTTTGATCCTAGAATAGCATCTGTTTGCAGGGGGTCATGCACAGGTCCTGCAGCAGCCTTCAGTAAGTGCCTGGCTTCAAGTCATTCAACACTGACTTGTCAAGTAACCTGTCACATCATCTGTGCTCAACACTAGCTGTAGCTCTTGTTTCATGTTTCACTCCACAGAGTTAGTGTGTCCCACTGTTGACTGTAACTGGATAAGTAAAAACAGAATGGCTAGAACAAAGAATAAAGTGAAAAGATGATCCAAAAAGGGGTTTTAGAATTTGGGCGAAAGCTTCTGGGAAGATGGCAAAGGGAATTCAAGCAAATAGGTAGTAGTTGTAGAGTAGAACATCCTTTATCTTATTCTCACTCAGAGTGCTTTCATGAGGGAGTAAAATTCCAGTAAAGCAGCTAACTTTCTCCAAACAAGGTTCATTTGTTTCAAGTGACCTTGAGTCTTCCAGGCTCTGGAGACCTGCAGGATGGGTTTGAAAGTCTACCTTCAATCAGAAGACACCCAGAAGCAGCCTTCTGTCACCATGTTCAGCACACCTCTGTGCAGTCCCTTTGTTGAAGACAAAAGACAGTTATCAGGAGATAGAGACATAGCTCTATAAATGGTTATGGCAATTGAAGTTTTTGTCAGTAGCTAATGTTGTTCCCTCTCGTGGCTCCTACAGAGACATCATCTCCCTCCCTGAAGACTGGTGCATACATTCTCATCGGTGTCGGGGCACTCACCATGCTCATGGGGTTCCTGGGCTGTCTTGGAGCAGTCAATGAAATTCGATGTCTCTTGGGTCTGGTGAGAGAATTCATGCTGTTTAATAACTCTCCTGTGAAATATCTGTTGAATTGTAGCTGGGTCTCTGGTCTCCTGGGGATAGTACTTTGCTAGGTCAACTTAGATCTATTTCTTAATTTGCACATGTTAAATTCTCCAGCAGTCAACAGACTGCAGCAGAGCACCTCAGAGACTATTTGAGATGATAACTCTGTGAAATGAGAGAGGATGTCACTGACACTTTCTGCACACAGTGAGTTCAGGACTGCCAACTGCAAGTGTCTCAAGTGACCCTGTACCCTGTCCCCCTTGCCCTGACTTCGCAGTTGGTATCAAGCACAGTGAAAGAGAATGGGAAGAATGACAGTGTCCTGCCATGCTACGAAGTTCGGCTTCTGTGGAAAGTGTAAGAGTCAAGAGAGACTCAATTAGGAATGTCCTGTATGTCAGGACTTCTCTTCAAATAGTTCATCTATAGGAAGTTTTCTGGCTGTGATGGATGAGATGGCACTAGCTTCATACACCTCAGCCTGCTACTTGACTTGGGCTTATTCAGAGCACATGTGTATAGGAACCCAAATATCGCACACATTGTGTGTCCTGGTTCTAGGGGCATCTCCTAGTGTAACGGTAGTAGCTGCCATCGTTTAAAAGTAACCTCAGCAATTTGCTGGTGAATCTTAAATTTAGATTCTGAAACAAGTAGAATAGCATTTTTTAAAAAGGTAATTGACTTTAAAAACAGTTTTAAAAAACTAGGTTTGTAAAATTGACTCTATTTTTCTGTTGAGGTTTGGGATAGGCAGAGTCCAACTGATGGAGGCCAGAGTGGTCTGGGAATGGAGCTGGAGGTGGGAAAGGGAGTCCCAGTTGGAATGACATATGCAGACAGTACTTGTAAGCCCTCTCCCTCCTGAAGTCTTCCTGTAGGCCTGCTGGGAGAAGTGCTGAAGTGCACTGGTCTGATGTGGATGCTCGTATATAAGCCTTTTCCCAGGAAGAGTGTTGTTGATAGCAGTTTGTCTGCAAGCACAAAAGGTGTTAGCTCAATGTTGTGATTTCTCTTGTATATGAAACCTTATTAAACTTGTGCTATTATGTACAGACTTTTCTAAAGGTTTCTTTTTGGTTTCCAGTACTTCACCTGCCTGATGATAATCCTCATAACTCAGGTTGCTGCTGGACTGGTCATCTATTTCCAGAAAGAAACGGTAAGTGTTTCTTACTGTGTATCTTTTCCTTGGTCTTGGCCTGGGAAAACAGGAGACATCTAGAAATTCTTTCTTCCAAACTGGGCTATAACGAGCGGGCATAACTGGATTCTCCTTTCCTCTACCCACACTCAGCAGCTTTGCTGGGCAGTTTGCTTTTTCTGTATCTGCCTCAGTAGTGTTGCTTTCTCAAGTATTATGAAGCTCTCTTTGGTATGCAGGCTTTATTTTTGGGTAGTGGGAACAGTAAAAAGAAAATCCTGAAAGGCTGTAGGCTGCACCTCCTCTTGATCCTGCTGTAGACAACTATTTGGGCATGTGTTAGCAGTGGTTACTACCATGTTGCCATCACTGGTGCCTTGAGGAGTTACCAGCCTAAGCGCTTTTAGGACTGGTCTACCTCCTTGTACTATCTTGTTCTGTGCTTTCAGTATTTCTGCATCTGTACAAAACTCTCCTTGCAAGAGCTCTCCTCTTTCCCCAAGAGCAAACCCAAATATCTGATGGTTCCTGTTCTACAACTGGAGCTTAAAAACAAGTGGTTTAATATTTTGAAGTGGATCTCTTTGTCAGGAATGCAGTTTCACAGTGTATGCTTCTAGAGCTCCAACAGGCTTGGTAGTGTAAAAGGAATAATTCTTGAGCTACCTAAGGGCATTGTAGCAACCCATCCTGGCTAAACTGGGAGCCACAGACATGCAGTCACAAGTTATAACTGTGGGGTCACTACTGGCTTCTGGTACCAGTTGTGGATAACCCGTCCTTTGCTGCATAACTGTATATCTGTACCACTGTATGGCTGTGCTTGTTTCTCCTAAGCCAGCCCTTCAGCTAGGCAGTTACAGAAAACAGATGGTTGAGGAAGTTATGGATGGGACCTGATGGAGTAGTTTGGGAGCAGAGGGAAGGTGCCTTCCATGAGCCTAACGGATATGAGCTTTGTGTAAGTGGCTGTGGTGACTCTGAGCAGCTGTTGGCTGGGTTCCTTGCCAGACGTGGTGTGAATGTAGCTTGCTCTCTGGGCTAACTGAAGCTGAAGGAGAAAATAAAATGTTGGCTAACAGGTGTGTAAAGATGCAGCTTTAAATGAGCTGCTGATTCTCAACAGCTCTGACTAATACAGGGAGGAGCTGTGGGGATGGGCATTCCCCTGTGATGCGGAAATATGACTTTTCAGACCATGAAATTCTGTACCTCTGTTATTTCTCCTCCAGTTGTCACTCTGCTCTAAAATAAACTCTAACTTTTAAGCCGTAGCTCTTCATTTAAACCTCAGTCAGACCTGGGAGAGATTAAAGTGCTGGGGGTTATTCTGCACAGCCCCGGGAGCTGGTGTGACTGACATCATCACTTGACAGGAATGGTCAGGGAAGCTGGGCTTTGAACAGATGCTCCTGTTCAGTCCTCAGTGAACAAAATCCAGGGAAAAGCTTTTTTCTAGAGCCCTTCTATTTCAGGGGTCCTCCAAAGTGCCAGCCTAAAGTGCTAAGAAAAACTGTTTCAGGAAGGTCTTGGCTGGAACCTCCAGCACACTGGTTTGAGGCTGCGCTTCAGTGCATGTCACTCTGCTTCGCTTGGTGTGCGTCATCCCAGGGCAGCTCGAAGCACAGTGAAGCGCACTGAAACTGCACAAGATCCACTCCCTAGATGTCTGTTGTGTTCTTTGTGTTTATTTCTTTCTGACTTTGGGAACTTGGTTAGATATGAAACAAGAAATAAAAGAGTGAGGGAAAGGATTTTGGATCCAGGATGCAGCAAGTTGGTACTTGCTCCTCCACTTCTTGTAACTCAAGTATTTATTTCTACAGGTTTGCTTGATGTTATTGGAATATCTGTTCCTTTTCGGTGTCAAAATCCCCTCCACCCTGACATGTGACAGTACATTGAAATAAAGTTGACATAACTAAAAGGCCGAGCCTCTGACAGGAAGGCTGCTGCTTTGCCTCTCCCATGAGCATTGTTAGAGGAATGCCCCTTCAGACTGGAATTGCCCAGTACTACTGGGAGGATGTTGATGCAACATTCATTTCCCTGCTGGTGACTAAAACTGTGGAGAGGGTTTTTTTAATGGACAACGAAATAGTAACTTCACAAATGTTACAAATGGCATTCTGCTTTGTGAGCCTAATGTTGCTACTCACATCTAGTGGATGACAAGCCCCTAAACATGAGAGCCTGGGCAAGGTCTTTCTTGGTCCAGTTCACACAGTGCTTTGCAGCTTGCATCTAAATGCTTGGAGTGAAGGAGAGCAGTGGTGTTTTGGGAATAGTCCTACTTGCTAGCTATTGTTTGCAGCAAACAGGCCTGGGTGATTTTGTGCAATGACTTGTCTGGGGCTATGGACTATGCATTAGTTTACGAATCTGAAGTGACTAGGTGGGGAGAGCTCCCTCCAGGTTTTTTGAGCCTATTTTTGTGTGCAGGCTAGATGCTAATAAATGCTGGAGGAAGAGTCTAGCTTGAGTCTGACAGAGGGAACAGGATAGATGACTGACAGTGGAAGAAGCCTGCACAATTCATTCTATGATCAAGACTGGGATTGAAGACCCAAGCTCTTGCCTCTGGCATTCAGCTTTCTCCATCTCCCTCTTCAGTAAGCCCATGTGAAGGGGAGACTGACAGCCTTGCTGCTTTCTGGCAGTGGTCTGTGGCTTTTCCTGGAGCATTGATGTCTCACAAAGCACTGAGTCCTGACAGGCCTTAAATGGGTGAAGATGGTGGAGATGTTGAAAGCCTGTCTAAGGGTTCCATAATCCCTTCTAGCTTGTTGCTCTTTCAGTTTTACTCTGCCAGGTGCCTAAGGGTGAACAGCTGCAGGTGCCTGTGTTTTCCCTTTGGCTGCTCTGCTGGTCAGACTCACGAGCAAGCTGGCTGTGTGTGTGCTCTCCAGAGCTGTGCTATTGTTTGCGTAATATTCTCCCTTTCTCAGATTACTTTCTGAAACATGTAGGAATGCTTGAGTTTTTCTCTAGCTGAAATGCCTCACTTTTTGAAACCAGCACTGTTTGCAAGACCTCTTGCCTGTTCTTGTATAAGAGTAGGGGAATAACAGACATACAGCTTCCCTATGCAGCTGTGATTGGGGTCATCAGGTTCAGGTCTTGTCTTTGCTTGTGGTGGGGTCCTGGGATGGAGAACAGAAGCACTGCCTGAGATTCTTGCAGAACTGACACTTGGCTCCATCTGACCTAATAGCTAAGGGACTAGTTGGGCCCAGGGTAGGAAAACAAATCCAGCTCTCCTTGCCTCCCTCTGCATGTGGAGCAGCAGTGTGCGGGAGGGGTGAGGGTGGGAACTCTGAGGTTCAGTAACTGATAAGGCTTATGGCAGAAGCCAAGGCCAATCTCATTAGTGAGAACCAGGTCAGGTTGCCTCAATTTGAAGGGAAGGAAAAGGGGAAGCGAAGTAATTAAAAGGGGAAGAGCTAGACATCATGAGAAGAAAGATCATGCAGCTCCCATCTGTCTGGCCTGACATAGCTGATCCTAGTGAACTGAGCTCCAATTTTCCTAGGAAGAAGAGTTGGTGATGTAGAAAAGCTTTTCTTAACAGTAGGAAGTGTTTCCTCTGGCTGAGTGTCCTGGGGTTTGCTGTGGTCATTTACCATGCTTAATAGTAGAAGAAAAGGGAAAAACCATTTCCACTGATTTGAAATATGCTGTGGTACCACAGTCAAAAAGGTAATGTATAGGATGGGAACATCCTAGTCCTTAGTCTGATGTAACTCTATCCCATCCCTCAGGCAGTCTAATGACACTTTTTTCCAACTTTTTGTTATCTGGGTCTGTCCTTAGCAGTAACAGCTGTCATCATGTACAGGCTGGTGAAGAAGAGCTTCAGAAGGAGGTGGGAGGAAGAAGGTGAAAGAGTCTACAAGGTGTAGCTTGCACCTCTTATCAAACTGAAAGGTGTTGTAAATGTCTCTGGATAAGGAATGGGGTTGAAGGGATGATTTGATACACCTGAGCTTTGTGATAAGACTGTTAATTAGCAGTTTAGATAGTTGTAATGCTTCCTGTCTTAATACAGAAACAGAAGTTCTAGGAGTCTGAGGAGAGGCAGTTCAAGGCCTTGTGAAAAAGGCGAATTTCCACCAACTGTCAGTAAACCCAGCTGCATACAGGAGCAGGAGAGTGACTCATACCTTCCCTGAGCAGAGATGAACTGCAGTGACTGAGATTCTTGACCAGAGTTTTGCCGGCAGTACACAGTTAGGAACACATTTTTTGTGAGTCCTCAAGGCAGTGCTGTCCTTCAGCTTACACTTATCTTGCACATCTCTCTTGTCTGGGGCAGGCAGTTCAGTCTGCGTCTTAGCAGGATAACTATACCCGGTTCTGTTTCCTTACGGCTCATCAGGCTTGAAGCCCTTCCCTGTGCCTGGGCAAGGACTTGCTGGGAAGTACTGGTGCTTTGGCTGCTGCAGCAGCAAAGCTGCTGTCCTTATTACTTACTGAAGTTAGCTTTTTAGAGTGACTGAAGCTTCATATATGTATTCTAAGTCCCAAAGAAAAGGCTACAAGGAATTGACTAATCTAACTCTCCTGCCTCTTTTTTTCTTGACAGCTGAAAGAAGAGTTGTCCCACATAGTTAAAGATCTGATTGAAAATTATAACCCTTTGAATGAAGATAAGAAGAACTTGCAAGAAGTATGGGACTATGTGCAAATACAGGTGAGTCATGGGGGACACCAAGAGTTAGATGACTTGTCAGTTCAGACAATGGCCTTTAAAGCTAGGCTGAGGACAGGGAAACAGATATTGCATGTTTATCTGGCTGATCTGCAAAGTTGCCTGTGAGGTTTGGTGCCTGCAGACTAGAAAATGATCTTGCTTGCTACTACTAGGTCAGACCTTGAACCATTTCTGTATATTGGCTGTTAAAACTAGCTAGTATTGGCTGCATGGCCTAATGTATCCAGCCTGTTCTTGTTTGCTGGGCCTCCTGAATACTAACATGCGCAAACCACTTTGCATGTGACTTTTGTAGCAAGTTTGCATATGATATTTGTAGCAAGCTTATTGCCAGGCAAGTCAGCAGCACCATCTGCCTTACTTGGTGCATGTTGCTTGCTTATTGTGATGGTTCTTCTGCAAGTGACAGCATTCTTGGGAGCCATCCAACTGCCCATGGTTTCTGTTTTAGCATCAGGGTCAGCACTTGAGCAGCTAGAGAGTATTCAAGCACACTGGAGTCATGACAGCTGCTTACTGCCAAACCACAAGCCTTGAGAGCTGGCTGGCTGTTGTGGTTAAATACATGCCCAGCATGGGACTGATGTGTAGTAAGTACAAGTAATAGCATTTGTCTTCTGTCTGTACTTTGCTCTGCAAAACGTTGACCTGCAGTATTTCTCCTCCTTGGAGAATGATTTATTTATGTTTTATCACTGTGGTTGCAACTCCTTGCTAGTGAACTCAAGAGAAGCCTGAGTCTACTGTGGAGAGAGGCTCATGCTTGAGCCCTTTTTGTATGTAAGAAGACAAGAGGGTTTTGTAGAGGTGGAGAAGTAGAGTGTTGGGAGTCCTTGCACACTGAAGTTAGCATTTGAAAGGGGGTGGGTATTCTATAGACCAGTCTTGAAGTTCAAGTCCAAACCTCTTGTGAGCTAGAGGTAGTTCCTTCTGGAGGCTGGATCTTCACAACCCTTGTTGGGAATGCAAATACTTGTCCTGGTGTGGATGTTCAGCTGTTTCTATCTCTGCTTCGTGTCTGTTATAGCAGAAACACTGCTTTTCCTTTCTGAGGAGAGGGAGATTTTCCCTAACCTTCTACCGCGAGATTTATAGCCTTTCTGCTGTGTGCCACCATGCAGGCACAGGGATCCATGCTAATGATAAGATCTTAGTCCTTGCTGGACTTCCGATGTGCTTTCCCCTCCAGCAACTACAGTTTTATTACGTAGTGGCTGTATAGAAATGTAAATGTTTCTTTGGATGGAAAATATTCCTCATCCCATTTTCCAGCCAGTCCCCACTGCAGCCAGGCAGGCGTTAGCTCACGGTGATGTGCTGGGGCTCGGCGGCGTGGTGACGCCATCGTGCGGTGGTGCTGCTGTCCCTGGGGCCACAGCTGAGATCAGCGGTACCTTGTGACTGGGAACAAGAAAATGAGAAGTTCCTGTTTCACATCTGATCGAAAAATGTGTGCTACTCAAAGAAAAATCAAGTATTAGCATTTAAACCTATGCAAGTGGCATCACTAGTGGAAGACTAGGTAGTAAGGCTTTTGACATGTCTGTGAATACACGTGATGAATTTTCCACATATGAATCTCTTGCCTGACTTGCCTCTCCCTCACCAAATCAACCTGCCAACGATAAAAGTGGAGGGACTGAAAAAAATCTCTCAAATGTGTCACACAGGACAACTGGCCTCCTCCAGCTGACCCACCAGCAACACCTCCATTTGCATTTTTACCTTTATTTAGCATTGTCACCTGGAAATAAAATGAGGTTTACTAGTATTTAGTCTCCTAGAAGTCAACCTTTAACTCTTGTTTTGCTAGCAGAGTGATTCTTTAGTAGGAAATAATGTCCCTGTCTTCTGGACAGCCCTATGCATAAGTGACCAGGGTGGTGGTCTAATGCAGCTAATTCATGCAAATGGTATGGCCTGACTGTTGCTGTTACATGGAGAGTTCCTGTGTACTTCTGCCTGTTTATTTTCATGTGCAGTTATGTTGCCAGTGCAAAGTGTAAGACTGTGATGATCTCTCTCTGGTTATTAGATCTCCTGCTGTGGCTGGACTGGAGCAAAAGACTGGGAAGATAATGAGATTATTATCAACAAAAGCATGACTGAGTATCCCTGCTCCTGCTCCAATAGAACGGATGACTTAGAGGAAGGAAGAGGTTTCTGTCGTCTAGATGACCCTGTCAATGGCACTGCAACCTATACTGACTGGCCTGTTCATGGGCAGGTGAGTGGATATATCTGGGCCCTGTGAAGCTTCCACTGAAGTTGCCGTACCTTTGTTCTTCTGGGAATTACTTTCACGTCATTAATACTTGAAGTACCTGTGGAATTTGGGGGAAGGGGGGACAGAAATCCCACCCTTTTTTGCTAAAGCTACCATGAAACTTGGTATAGCATCTAATAGAGGTAATTCCTGCATGCAAAGGAGATGTGTTATGGATTTTCAGTCTTGAGATATTTAGATTTATGCTTCTTTTCCTTGTGACCGTATTTTTTCTATAGGGATGCATGGATGGTGTAGAGCAGTGGTTGAAGGACAACCTTGGTGTCATCCTTGGGGTTTGCACTGGTGTTGCTGTTATAGAGGTAAGTCACTTCCTGATGTGAACCTGTACTCTCTTACCATGGGGATTCTTTAAAAGGCAAAGCTGTTTTCTCAAGTAATTGACACCTTTAATGGCGGTGCAGTTTTAGCTCTTGGTTATGTCTACCTGGGCCTTTGAACTGCTGCTTTCATTGATTGGATTGAAAATGGAACAAAGCCCTGTCTACTTGTGGTTCCTTCTGATGTGTCTGACTCTTGACAATTCGCTGTATGCATAACCAGGAAGACTGAGACAAGCAGCATCCTGTTAGTGAAATCCCACTTGTTGCCTTAAAAAGCCCATAACATAGATTCCAGAGGAAGGCACATCTTTCTGCAGTCCAATTTTTTGCCATTCCAGTTACTGCATTTGCTTTGTGGTGTGGACCAATTCTGTTCACCTGTGTGGTGTCATTGAAAGACATTCACTGTGTTCTGTTCCCCTGTATCACCTGTTCTCGCCCCCCTATTATCTGTCTGGTTGCTGATTTTGTTCCCATTCTTCATACTTATTCCAGCTGCTGGGGATGATTCTGTCCATTTCGCTTTGCAAGAACATACACAGCGAAGACTACACCAAAGTGCCCAAGTCTTGAGTTGGCTGACTCCAGAGCTACGGCACCACAGAGAAAGGAGCAAACAGAACATTCCTGCCTCATACCCAGACTGTCCAACCGTTGACCATTATTCCTGTGACATCCCATTTCTGATACCACTCTGCTAAGAACTGTTAGACCTGCAACACAGCCTGATCTTCTGGCAATAGGGCCATTGGGCCACCTGCATCCTGCCTCTGGATTATTTCTACTTCAAGAAGCAGAACTTGAACTGTCTCATATCACGTGAGACGCTGATTAACCTGAGGGGACAATGCTTTTGCTGCCTGCTCCATGATAAACAATACTACTCATATCATCATTCTACAACCCACTGGGCCTAACATACAATAACTTCTCTCTCCCTCGCTCTTCTCCTGCACATCTTTTCACCTCCCCCCAGAAGTCCCATCTCTTAGTTCCATGAGCCAGGAATTCAGTTGAGATTCCAGTGCTTTGGTAGCTTCACTTGCTTCACTGACTTGTGGTGGTAACTAGTCATGCTTTATAGGCTTTCTCCTCCCTTGCAGTTAACCTTATTTGGCTCCTACTGTGCATCTTCAGACTAGGCTCTCATCTGAAATAGAGTGCTACCGTCATACTTGCTGCTTCTGCTTCTGGAGTCAGCTATGCCTTGCCTTCAGTGGAGTTCTTCCCTTTGAGCATGATGAGAAGCCACTGGGAGGGAGCCAAGCCTACCTTTTAATTCCTAGTGTGACCTGGCTGATTGTGGTGGCGGTGCTCAGCTACCTCTGGAATGGATCCCTTGGGTTTTGGGTTTGATACTTAGATGTTTCTCCCATTTGCCTCTTTACCTTTTCCTCTCCTCCTAGCTCCCCTTCGCTGGCTCCTGTCAGTTGGAGGTACTTCAGAGACTGCTGCGTAGTGTGGACTCAGCCCCAGGCTGTCTCTGCTGGTTGTATTCTTGGGTTGCCAACTCTGTAGAGGTTACGATTAATTTTGATTCTTCCCCTGCCCCTATATGAACCTAAAATTTGTTAGCTGTGGTTTTTAGATATGAATATGGAGGAATCTGACTGGATTGCTGATGCTGTATATTGGAAAGTCCACTGCTACCAGTGCCCAGTGTAGGTTCTGTAGTTTGGATGCGAGAATAAGTTGCTTTTATTTCAGTTGTCCATTTTTCTAACTCCACTGTGGTCTGGAGCCATGGCTACATCCTGAGTTCTGTCTCAAGTGCCAGCACTGCAGCAGATAAGTAGCAGGTTCTGCAGTCATGCAGGCTGGGTGGTTTCTGTGTTAAATGGCTGGGCTGTTCACTCTATTCAGCCAGTGGCCAGCAGCAAGGAGTGGTGCAGACTGAAAGAAAGTAGGAGATGTGTGTGAAACACTGCCCCATCTTCCTACATAAGAGAGCTGGGTGCAAATCTTCAGTCTTAGAGGTGTCTTGCGCACAACAGGTTTCCTGCTGTTGTACATGGTACAATCACCCTGATAGCAGGAAGCTGTATGAGAGCGAAGTGGGTGGTCCTTGCCTGAGACCTGTTATGAGGTACTTGGTGAGAGAGCCTTTGCCTTACAGAGGTGGTCCCTGGACCATCTCCTGTCGGGGGGGGTTGGTAGTCATAACCCTAGTAGCAGTTCCGGGGGTGGTTTCACTACCTACTCAGTTTTCCTTCTGGGGAGAAAGGCTTGTGCAGGGGATCAGGTCCCCAGCAGTGGGTCCCTGCTCTGTCCTCTCTGGACACAGTAGTGACTGGGGAGAGAGTAGCTATGACTGGGCAACTGGTTTTTATGGAGGTCGGATAAGGCTTTGCAATTCTGAGATATCAGCCCCTTCCTGCACAGATCCTTTGAGCTGATCTTTGCTATAGCAGAAGGCGCCTTTTAGCAGTAAAGCTTGCTAGCTTTTGGAACACACTCTATTCTCTAATATGTTCTTATTTGTAAGTTTCTTGTTCAGTTACAGATGCCAATACCAAACAGCAAGTTAAAAATTACCAAGCCCATTCTGGATTTCCTTTTTTGTTTTTGTCTGTTTTTAGCAAAATCTTCCTACTGGAAGAAATGCATGTACAGATATAAAAGTCTAGAGGGTGAATATTTCTGTAATAAAGACTTTGCTAAAAAATTATATATCTCTGTCTATGACTTGTGCATTGCAGTGTTTTCCCCTTGCTTCATCTCCATCCCCTTCTGCTTTACGTGCAAATCACTGACATCTTGTTTGTTCAAGGTAGCAAAGGGGCTTGTCCAAAAGCTGGTCTGAGACCCATGTGTGAGATCAGTGTGGACTGTGAAGATACTGCCCAGCAGAGGGAGGTGACAATTTTCTGGGCTGTACTCTGCCTTGCTTTATGAAGTATGTTTGAATTAGGATGATCTGATTGAGTGGTAGTTCCTTTAAATTACCTGCTATGTCCTAAGCTAAGTGATCTCTCTGTTTGAAGATGTCGCTTCAAATCTGTACAGTCTGCACAGTATGAGTTCATAAGCCTTGGGGACTAATTCTGACAAAATGCAAGCTTGCTGCTATGCCCACAGTGCATACAGCTCTTGCTAGAATATCTTTATAATTTTTTCCTACTCACCTTCAGTAGGCTTCTGCCACCAGGCTGCTATTTTAAAAAAAGATTCCTCAGCCCCTACCCTACCACTATGAGGAGGAAGAAAGCAATTTTTGTAGGTTATGTCACCACACAATGGGCTTGAGTGAAAAGCTCTTGAGAAGTAGATAGGGCAGATGTATAAATCTTCTTGCTTTTCTCAGCTCGGCAGTTGAGAAGTAGATATGAGCTGGATCTCAAAATTCTTTCAGAACCTGTGCCATGTTGGTATTTTGGCCATTTAAAATGGTTTAGAGGAACCTGTGGTAGTGTGCTAATGAAGTCTACAGCTGTTGCTTTAGCAAATAATGAACTAAGTCTTCATACATGTTTGAAGAAACAGAATGAAGTTTGCAGAGAAGAAAGTACTGGGGTGCTATCAGCAAACACTGGTGGCAACTGGGTCTAAGTCAAGACTTCAGTAACCCTGACCAGATGAGTGCAGAGCAAGATCCTGGACCCACAGAAGGGTGCAGTGATCTGTCTTATTGTGAGTACAACTTGTTCCTTTCAGCTTTCCGAGGCTGTGCTTGGGGAGAGCTTGGATCTTGGTAATACAGAGTCTCCTCTCTTTCTGATTGGTTTCCCAGAGCACTCTGCTTTAATCAGGTGGCAATGCTTTCCCCGGGCCCCACCATTTAGAGGGCTACATTTCATGGCCAGCCCTGACCAGATGACTTCTAGGTGTAGAAGGGCGCTGCTGGTTTCCATTCAACCTGATGTGGAGCTGGAAGGAGAGAGGAGGGAAAGTGAGGACTGGTCTGTTGCTTGTCTGCACCTTGGGTTCCAAACTGCCCGAGCTCTGTGGAAACCACTTGCCTTTGACCACTGGAGGGGGGTGTTCCACCAAGAAAACTAAGTTCAGGCGGGTCCCTGGGGAATGAGAGGATGACACCGATGGCTTCCTTCTGCTCCTGGCAGCAGGGTAGCTAAAATAACTTGTAATTACAAATTTATTCCCTTCATAAAAGATTTGTGCTACATGCTTGGCATTTTTAGGCGTAGTTTTCCCTTCCATTCCTTGGGGCACACTGTTGGATATTTTGTTGCATGTCTTTCACTACTGTGAGAGTTATGTTTCCTTCTTGTGTTTCTGCTGTATGTAGCTCTGGAAGTTAAGCATGAGTAGCTTCTACTGCTTCTTTCCTTGTCCCTATTTTTTCCTTTTTTGCTCCATCCTCAGTTCCTTTGTGCAATCAGTCTGTGGGGAAGGAGAGGGCATTTAATGCTTATAAACTTGATCTAAAAAAGATTCCAGGAAGAAAGTCCTCAGATCTTCAGAGAGGGGAAAAAATCTGCTGCTGCTCCTTGGGCCAGGCTCCCAGCTCCTCTCCAGAGGTAAAGGTTTGCTGCTGGAACTAGGAATCAGACTAGCACTCAGACTTCTTGGGAGCTGCAGTGTTTGTCTAGCAAAGCCCACAGGCCAGCCTCTGCAGAAGCTCAGCACATGGAAGCATTTTGTGTGTAGCCAATAAGCTGCTATATGGGTGTCCCAGGCCAATAATTAATATTGCAAGAGTAGAGTTGTGACTGCCATGTGGCCTGAAGCAGAGCTCCTAGTAATGAACTGGTGACATTCCTCATTCTTTGTGATCATGAAGCACGCAGAAGCTGCTATAATTCTTTCTGTTAGGTGTTTTTTCTTTTGGAAAGGGAAGAGAAATTGCATTAGTTAGAGTGGCTATGGGCAAGTCTATAGGTCACAATGCATCTTGTTTTCTTTTGTGGTTTCTGCATAGCTCATGCTCAAATGTAACATGTGGCAACTGTTCTTTTCCCTCTAATTGTCCCATGTGTGTTGATGTGGCTAGTCTCTGCCAGCTTTGCTCTGGAATTAGGCGGAATTTGCTAGACTTCAGAAATGTCTGATTTCTGGCTGCTGAAGGACAGGCTGCAAGTGGTGGTGTCAGACTGCATGACTTGGTTGGGGAAGGCAAGGAACAGGCAGCCACAGGAGCTCACTGCTGAAAAGCCTGAGGACCCTGGGATTCCCACAAATGCTGCCACTCAATGCCATAAATGGAGAACATACCCTCAATTATTCATGATCTGGCTCTATTCCATTAGCCGAGACTCTGCTCTAGCTGTGGCCTTTTATTACAAATAAATCTTAGTTAGCAGCCAGGATTTCTGAAAGATATATTAGACCAGGTTGACACTAAAAACTTGTCAATGTAAAAATCTACTAGCATGGAAGTCTTCAAACGTTTGCAAGATGGCAAAAGGCCCTTAGCAAAAAATATGCAAATAGTGAACCAAAGCTATTAGTAAAATGTTGCTAGTAAAGCTACTAAGTGTGCTTTAGCCATTATAAACAATTTCTAGCAAGTGTGGCTGGCAGAGTGCATGCAATTTTTTGCCTCGTGGCAAGAATCCCTTCTGCCAAACATGGCAAATTACCTTCTCCTAAGTGGATTGTATAACTCCAGCCATACATTCTTCCTTCTCCCAGATATGAATTTTTGGGGTTCTCCCTGCTAAGCTCCTAATATTACAATTGGCTAAGGTGTGCGTGCTGTTTGGCTTTTGTGGGGTGGGATTAGGGGAATATTGGTTGCTCTGTACACAGAGAAAAGTTCTCCAGGCAAAAATATTACCTCTGTTTAAAATAGGGGTTTAAGAGGAGGATGAAGCACCAAGTAGTATGTGGATGCTCTAAGAGGTATGGAATGTGAGAGGTTAAATCCTGCTTTAGGCCCCTAGGATGGTATTTGCACACACTTGAATTAAATTTCTCTCTGGTATCTTCTTTCCTATAACTCTCTCACTGACAAATGGCATCGTGAAGTGACTCCTCTGTCCACAACAATCCAGAGTTACGCAGAAAGTATGGAAACCTACTTCTGTAACTAAAACATGCCCTATCTTTAAGAAACTAGAGAGCATTTTCCTCCCCTCCTATGGGCTCCAGATGTTAGTAACTCCCATTCCTTCACAATGTTTCTTTGAGCAATGGCAGCAGCTCAGGGATTATCTTGATATCACTCTTTGTTCTGTGAGTGTTCACCAGCTTAGGAACTATTGGTTTTACACCACACTGATGTCATCATGCTGCTGCTCCAGACCTACATCAGATCTAGGCCTCCTGCAGGGCCCCAGATCCTTACTATGTCACCACTTTGTCCATTGTGTGTCTCTTGCCAGCATTACCTGCTGTTCATAACCTTAAGTCTTCTCCATGTTGTTTCTTCATGTCCAAGCAATTTTCCTGGAAGTTCTTGGTCTGCAGTTCTTCCTGAATCTGACTGCCAGCATCAGGTAACCAACTCTAATAAAACAACAGTTGTGACAGTGCAGGAGGTCAGAGGACTGTGCATCAGACTAACTTTTCCCTTTTTATTTTTTTGCCCTCCTTAGAATTACAGACTGGACATATGGAAATTCTTCAGAGACAGCAAGAGTCCCAGAGCATGTGATCATCTGAATGGCTTACCCAGCATGCTTCCCGGGTATTTTCTACATAGCTCTTCTGGAAACTATTTAGGGTTTACTAGAGTGGAAATGTGAGGTCCTGTCAAGACCATGTTATAGTACAGACATGTGCTTTGTGCACTGAACTTGCACAATGATGTCAGAATAGTATAACTCAGGCGGTGATGTCTGCAGACAGCCTGGAACTATAACCCAGTACAGTGCAGATCTTTGGCAGAGGTTGTATCATGAAGCTCTTAAGTATTTGAAAAGAAGTTGTTCTTTTAATACGATGTTGTAATTAGCTCTGGTTAGCACTGGTTGGCAATTCTTTTGCCAAAACAGTTTTTCTCTAGAGGGTGTAGGTTCCTATAAAACAAAGTGTGTTTTATTTATGGGGGGGTTTTTTTCCTTCTGCTTAAACAGACTGAAAATAATTGGATAACTTCTGATGGAGGGATTTCTTCTGCTTTCTTAGTGGTTGCTACATAGTAAACATGTAAAAGACTTGGAATTGAACAAAATAGAATTATAAAACTGTATTCTAAATCTGTCACCTAAAACCTGGGTATATGGGGCTTCTGAGGTGGGACAAACTGGGGAGATGGGTACATTTTTTTCTGCTAAGATTGAGTCCAACCACAAACTGAGCACTTGCAAGTCCACTAATAAACTATGTTCCGAAGTGCCACATCTACAGTCTTTTAAATACCTCCCAGAATGGTGACTCAGCCACTTCCCTGGGCGACTTGTTCCAATGCTTGATAACCCTTTCACTGAAGAAATTAATATCCAATCTAACACCTCTCCTCCTCCTGCCCAGTGCTACTTGAGGCTGTTTCCTCTCATCCTGTCACTTTTTATTTTGGAAAAGAGACTGGCACCTGAGAATTTTGTATTTTGGAGCAGCTCCTATAGACCCGTGTGAGCAATTCCTCTGAGCTTGTTTTTAAGTGGAAATGCACCAGTACCAGGTCTGTATGAGCCTGTGGAGGTGAGGTGGTGTGGAAGGTGGGCTGGGGCAGTATGGGAGCTTCTGGAAGGTGAGGTGCATCCATGGGAGGGAACAACCTGGGGAGGAGTCTGGGGAGGAGGACGAGCCCTTGGCACATGA